AAATTTCAGCCGACCACCTTTTTAGTTTCGTGTTTTATGTGATTATTAGTAAAGGAAGCTTTCTGGCTCTGGAGCTGTCCGTTACATTGCGAACGAAAGCTCAGCAAGCATTCATTGGGGTCGCAGAACTGTGAGTCACGGTCTTCTTCACACAATTCGACAATCACAAGTCCAAGGCAACCCTCCTTCGGTATCATGTGAGGCAAATCTACGAATCCTCCTCACACCTTCTCTCAGATTTCTCAAATTAAATTAAAGATATACCATTATCATGCTACCAATGGAGACTTCGAGACCTAGCTTCTCTTTACATTCTCTTCATGTCATGACATAAAAGCCCACACCAGTGCCTCACCGAGATTCGAACCCACCTGTCAGGTACCGTTGCTATGCCTACTTAGACGAGTGGGTGTGGGAATGTGTTGTCTAAAGACGGAGTTTTCAGCATCAACCTCCCTTGCCTCATTTCGACCTGTACCGAACCTATGTTGACGCAAGTCACGAGCTTGAGACCGCACTGACTGGCTATCATTTGTCCAAAGTTTGCTGAGGCTTTTGCGCCTCAGCATGAATGACGCAACTTTACAATAGCCGTCTGATTAGGCATTTTGACTCTGTGCTCCATCTTTCTAGATTTGGCCAGAATAGACGCGCGGACAAAGCCAGTGACTTTCGTGTTCACACTTGCCCCTCTTTCTGACCCCCCAGAGCCACAAATTCCAACAACTCGGTTATCTGGGCGGCTCCATGGAAAGTAATCATATTTTATCACCACCACCATTATACGAATTGGTACATTTGTAGACAGATTGCTCCAGCCCGCAGTGATGGGCTCTGTCCAAAGTCCAGCTGCACCTTGGCTCATTCTTGTCGACACTTCTGGTCCCTATGACGACCAGTTTCCCCCTCATAAATCAGCGGGACATGGAAGTCCAACCGACAGCACAACCCGCCATCCAGACTCCTCCCGGAGCCATCATTTCCTCCACTTGGCCGACTAACCACAGAGACTAACATCAAAGCGGCGTCTGAGTGATCGTCTCGAATGGCACACGCCCTAACTCGGTCCTAACCCACCCAGTTGGTTGGCAGCTTTCGTCTGGGCGTCCCGAATTTAGCCAAGCAACGCTTTGCAAAATCTGGACTTGCTATGGAGATGACAGCGATTCTGGTCATGATTAAGTGAAGCAAAAGCCTGATTCTTGCATGCGAACTCACTGTACCATGAACACCCCAAAAAGCCGTTCTCATCAGGGCTGGACTGAAGCTCCAAACTCTTCCACACCTCATCGACACTTTTGGGCAACTTGATTTTTTGCAGAGGTATGAACAGCAAGTCTATGGTTCCAATTTCATACCATTATCCTATATCCCTTAGAGTGGGATTGACGATTAAGCAAGCCTATATTTGGCTGTTTCAATCAAATATGTTAGTTTTATTCATATTAAATCGTTTTCGAAACTATCCATAAATCTTAAATAATCGTTATTACCGTCTTATGATTTGATGCCCATTCATATCTGCGAATATAATAATTTTTCGTATGTAAGTAGATTTTTGAGAC